TGCCAGCAGTGGCCAGGGAGGCTGGTGGGACAGAGGAAACGGGGGAGATCTCCCAGCACAGTGCCCAGCCCAGCCAGGACACACGAGCGGTGTCCCTGTGTCCAGGTAATGTCCCCTGTGTGCCGATTTTCACTATCCCCCAGGACAGCACTGCTTCCCTGGCTCATTTGGACTGGATCAGCTCAGGATCAGGCTCCTGGGCTCTGTCGGGCTCATCTGCCCCCCGAGCATGAGTGAAGGTGGAAGTGTTAAGCCTGGTTTAAAATGCCCTGTGCAAGGGTGATTTCCACTCCTGTGAGGGACCAGGTAGCAGGAGCTGGTGGATGAAGGCTTGTGACAGCCAGGCTGGTCCTGGCCAGCCCCACTGACCCCCCAGGGCACAGCATCCCCCCGGGCCAGCACAGGCACTGCTGCTGTGCCCTGGTCCCACCTTGGCTCTCCTACCTTGGCTCACACCTCGCTCCGTGCAGTGATGAGGATGCTTCTCACCTTGTTCCCATGCAATGTGTTTGGAGGCTGAGCTGAGGCAGGTTTGGAAATTGCAGCCTGGGAACCTTCTTTGGGTGTCAAGTACAGGCAGCGGGGCCCGATGGAGAGTTTCTGCAGTGCCCTCAGGCTTGGAGAGATGCAGAGGGAAATTTTGAAGTGGGGCTGAAGGTCATTTTCTGGCTGTGTTTGCGTGGGCTGGAAGTCCAGCGCTGGGGAAACCTGCAAACCCAGGGCTGGCTGTAACTCCTCCTGTCCCTCGGTGCTGCAGGTTGGTGGCTTTGCCTGGGACAACTGTGGTGGCAGGGAACCCGTGCTGCTGAAGAGCCTCTCCGTGGCACCCGACCCCATCAGCATCCCGGGGAGCCTGCGCGTCAGCGTGGCCGTTAGCAGCAGCAAGACCATGGCCTCCCCTCTGAAGGTACATGCCAGGGATGCCTCAGTGGCACGAGGGAGGGCACAGCTTCCCAAAACCACCGGGATCTGGGAAATGCCTAGCAGGGGCTATGGGAATGAGCAGCCCTTGGGGGAACGAGGCACTGAGAGGTGCAGGGCTGAGTGCAGCCAGCTCTGCAAGCCAGAACAGGGTGATGGGGCACAGGGAGACCTGTGGAGGGAGCAAATATCCCAGTGGGAAGCTCTCAACCTTGTCCCAGTGGGAGAAACCACCTGAGCAGCGTTGTGTCTTGGGGACGCAATGACTCAGAGAGGGAAATGAAACCCCAGGTGCCCTGGGTGCTCCCGGCAGGTACTGCAACACTGGTTTTTCAGTGGGCAGACCTGGTTGCTCCCTCCAGGGACATGTCACGGCACTGCTGTGGGAGCCCTGGCCTGGCTCAGCTGCCCTGATCCACTTTTGGGGCATTTTTTGGAATGAGACGGAACACGTCTCTCTGCCTAAGGTGCACGGGCTGTCTTGAGCAATGCAGAGTTGCCTGTTTGGGGCTGTGGCTGTGGGGAGCGTGGAGGCAGGGCTGCGGGATGGGAGCTGTGAGGTAATTTTGGGAAAGGGGAAGGAGTGGGTGTGTGGCGTGCTGGGAGGTGTTTGCTCAAAGGGTCAAACACGCCGGAGAAGGAAAGACCTGCAGGCAGAGAGGAACCAATAGTAGGAAGAGGAGGTGGAACGGTGTGTGGTGGCCCCGTTGACACCCCAAGGAATTGGGGGAGCCGAGGGAGACGGCTGTGGAAGGTGGGTGGGACAGGCTGGAGGAGCCCTGCCAGCTGCACCGGTGCCAACCCCCTTCCCTCCAGGTAGTGCTGGTGGTGGAGAAGGCGCTGGGCGACCTCTGGATCCAGCTGCCCTGCATCGACAACCTGGGCAGCTGCACCTACGACGACATGTGCACCATCCTGGACAACCTCATTCCTCCCGGCACGACCTGCCCGGA